GAGATGATGAAATGATGGGCAGGTTGGTTTAAATGAACCAGGAAGAAGAAATAGTGGTGGATTTTGTCAAGCAGATGGATGTGAGCTGTAGGAGTGACAGCCAGCCTCTAGGTGGAGATGGAACTGCATCAAGGATCTGCTGTAAGCCCTTTCTCATCTGCTGATGGACAGACTACCAGCTGAGGTCAGGCAGGGATCCACGTCGTTTACTTTAATGTTTGCTGATAATGTTGTGATCTGCGGTGAGAGCAGGGAGCAGGTGGATAAGAAATTAAAGATGTTGAGGTACACACTTGAAAGACAACAAAAAAAATCAGCTATAGCAATTCAGAGTATGTGTGTGAATGAGTTTTACTTTCACTAAGAAGGATGTTCTCATATCTACCACTAGGGAAGAGCAACCTATTGTTTCCACTTTCTGTTTGCTCAGAAGCAGGTTTTTACTCATACAAGTCAATATGTAAATATTGGAAACCTTTTCCATCAGTCTGTGCAGTTCGTTAGGACAGGTTTGAACTGAGATGTTTCTGTTTGATGTGGAATATTTCTTTACTAAACTTCAGATAAGAGTAATGCAAAGACACAATAAAGTGCAATCAAATACATTTTTAATGCGAGTGAGTATTATACCAAAGCACAAGTCAGCCCACTCTGACATGAGGGATTGTCACATGTTCATTTATACATAGGTGTGAAAGAGAAGGCTAGCCCCCTAGAAAATGCAGGAAAATGCAGCAAAAAATACTTCAAGACATATGGTGTGGTTACACAACTGCAGAAAGAGATAATAAGCAAACTGACAGTCATGTATTGGCTGTTCTCTTTCTGTCTGTTTGGCTCAGGATGTTTTTTAACATCTCTGCAGATTGAAGAGTAAGTTGTCACATTTCACATATTTTACATAAATAGCACACTTCCTCCTCCTTCATCCTGTCAGAAAAAACACACATATACAGTATATATATATAGATGTTATGAACCAAGATGAACAATGTTTATTAAGATGCTGAATGCAAAATAATTATCCACCCATGGTGAGTTGTTTGACGTGTCCTACTGTTGGCATTATCTTTTATGGCACAAACAAGGCCAATGCCACAAAAAAACAAGCTTTAAAAAACATTTTTTCATTTCATTGAATTTCAGTTTAAGTACTTACCTTGGATTCAATTTGTTTAGTGCAAATATTGAGATTCCTGCCAAAAATACAACAACTAAMCCAATAATAAGTCTTGGGAGCTGTCCAAAATCTGCAGTGAAGAAGAAAAATAAGTTTTAGTCATCCAAACCAACTCAATTTTTCTAATTTCAGCTCAAAAACTTCAATTTCAAAACAGTATATACTGCATCACATTTAAAACATTGGTTATTTTCACAGAAGGCCTGGCTGTGCTGAAATATACAGTAACCCATGGTATTTAACACAATATGTTTTGTAGAACAACCWGTTTCAAATCAAAGAAATGGTAAAAATGTCCCACCAAAGTATTAGTCTTGTGCAAATGGGTTGTTGTGTAAAAATAAAATAAAYTGAAATCAATCTCATTGATTCTTWTWAMCCAGCTCTGTCCAGTCTGCAGAAGTCTGACCTTTTTCAGCTTTTACARTAACCATCTTCTCTTGATCCCAAGACGGGTGCTGGATGATACAGCTCAGGTTTTCTCGACTCATGCCAGCAGGGATCTTCAAAACGCTCTCTACTGTAACTAATCCATCTGAGTCAGACAGCGATGTCTCAGGCTCTGAGTTTCCTGTAAAACTCCAGCTGATGTTGGCAGCAGGATTTCCTCCTTCAGCTCTGCACACTGCCACCACCGTGTTGTTCCTTTGCTCCATCGTGGCAGAAACAGTCGGAGAAACTTCATATTCAGAGAGAAAAACAGGAGAAATATGAGTATGGAATTGTTTGAGTGTAAATTATTAAAACTGCAACCACATCTCCTGGAAACTCATTTTAAATAACAGTTAGTCATGCAGGATTTTGTAAAATTAAAATCACTTACACTATAATTATTCATTTATCTGACACATTTCAAGACTATAAAAAACTCTAAATTCCATTGTGCATTCACAGAAGTATAAGGCTGTGCAGTATGAATTTTATCTAAACTAATTTTCACTTGTAGATTTTTTTAATTATTAAAGTAACTATCACTCATTGTGTGTGTGTGTGAAAAAAATCCTACCTATTAAAGTCACGTTGATATTATAATTGTCATTTCCTCCATTGTAAGCTGACTCACATGTGTACATCCCCACGTCTTTAGATGAAACGTTTGGGATGTGCAGGTATGACTGACCAGTGGACGTGTTTTGCAAAATCTTGCCATCGTTGCATTTGTCAATGTTATCACCTTGATTGCTAAAGGAGATCATACAGGTTTTGTGTTTCAAGTTTATTGTCCAGATAACATAGATAGTCTCATTCCACGTCTTTTTACCGCATGTCAAACTGGCGTTGCTCCCAGGTTTGAAAACTTCCTTTCTGTAATCTGAAGGAAAGAAAACCTTGTATAAGTTTTGCACATTATGATATTTAGATATGAATTATTCATTATGATAAACATTTTAAAAATACTCCATGTTCATATAGACTCTCCTAACCTAAAATAAAATGTAAGACAGTAACCCAACAAATTCTTTAGTTCCTGAGAGATGAAGGCAAATGTTAGAGGGATTTTCTCAGTGTTAGTTGTACACTGAACCAGCAAAAGAGCAGTGGCAACCATTAGTAAGCTTTAATAAAACATGCAGGTTACATCAGATCAGCACCAATGTGAGAGAAGGTACAAAAGAACCGCCAGTCTGACACAGAGGTGGATAAATAACTGTTTTAAAATCTACCAGGAATCAAGATGGCCTCTTTCCATGTACCGATATGGTCACCTTGGGATTTAGAGCTTGTCATTGGCTGTTAGGGACATGAGGCAGGTTGTGATTGGTTGTTCTTTATCACATGATGATAGCTGAAGGTATAACATTTCTCTTCCGCCCTCAGTCGGGCGGCCACATCTGACAGACTTCCTGATTGTTTTCTGTTTAATGTTGCCCATATTAATAAATGATTTTACGACCATACTCGCAAGACTGTTTGTCTATTTGACATCCTTTCAACGTGTTTTCTGTCCGTTTTGCCGCGACAAAATGAAGGTTTTTTTTTCGTCTTGTTACTGGAATGTGCATTCCTTGTCTTGTTTTGCTTAGAGACCCCGCAGTGGAATAAAGCTACATCATTGTGTTACCCAAACCAGAAACCAAGCAAGCTGCTTTCTCAATCAGATAATACAGGAATCACCTCCACCTTTCCTTCTCCTCACGATGATTTTGTGTTTTGTTTGTTTTTCAGTTGGTCTTACCTAATAAGTGTTATGATTTATTCTGTAACAGTTTTAAATGTTTTTACTCTTTGTAACCAAAGGCCCATTTGGGGATGTTATATTATGTAGCTCTGTAATGATATTTGTTTATGTCAAACATCTTGATCTGATGAACAATCATATTTCATTTTGTATAATTTTGCTTTAGTCTGTTAAAAGTTAAAACATCAATAAAAAAAAGTTTACTCAAGTTGTTCATATATTTATAGCATGAGTAAAGAAACACATAAACTTACCTTTACACGTTCCACAGGAAAATGTTAAGCAGAAAATTATAATCAGTCTGTCCGTTTGGCCCAGCATGTTCACACTTATATGCTGAAGAAAGCTACAAACCACTGCAGAAAGCTCAATGCTGTCAAACCTCTTGACTAACCACATCCTGACCTCCCACAGCATTTTGAAGAAAAATGTCTGTGTGGCAGAAAATAATTTAGAAAAAACAAAGAAAAAAATGAAATAAATTTTATGAAGCTAAAAGGACAGAGACCCTGAATGTAGTAAAGGTGAAAAGACTGCCTTGAAGGTAGAAGTAGAAGATCTTAATGTTTAATGTTGTCATTATGCTATGTTGGATGAAAGGTATAGGAGAAATTTACATTTGGAAGGTCTGAGA